AAAAAAAAAAAAAAAAATTATGGAGATTTTTAAAAAAATATTTTTCAGCTTTATTAGTGGTAATTTGAATGTATTATTTACAAAATGTAAGCATAATTAGAAAACTTGTGATCTGAAAAACCTCCTGCAGCTTCTTCGTCAACCTTAGTTTGAACTCTCTTCTCTCTCTCTCTGAATCTCATTCCCACGATTCATCTCTCCCTGAAACCAAACCAAAAAGCATCACCATTTATCATCAATCTGTATATATAATATAATTCACTCTATTGTATATAATTTCATATAATTATATATATATTTTTGTTCCAATCGAATCAATCGCGATTTGGATCCACCCGCAAAACAGCCAGATCCGGCGGCCTCCGATCTCCGGCGATGGCCCCATCAAGACTCTTCCGATTGGGGCTTTTCATGCTGTTGATCCATTTCTCCTATTCGGATCCGGGGTCGGGCTGCCCTCGGACCAACACCTCCCTTCTCAACTTCACCTCCCACTTCACCATGGTGCAGCACCAGCTCCGGGGCCTTTTCTCCGTTGTAGACGATTGCTCGTTTCGGGTCACCCGGTTCGACATGCTTCCGGGTCAGGACGTCCACTGGTGGGGCGCTGCCGGCGATGATTTCCAGAACCTCACCGGCGGCTTCCTCATCTCCGAATCCTCGCAGCTCAACCGTACCTTAAAAAACGAAACCTTTGTCGTTCGGCTGCGGGAAAACGTTACCTGGGATCGAGTTAAAGTCGTCGCCGTTTGGGACCTTCCCACTGCTTCCAATTTCGGGCATATTTCGTTGAGTGGTGTTGAAACTTCGGCCCCTGCCGAGCAGCCCACCATGTTTGAAAACTGTAAGGTTCTCTCTGATGGTTATAGGGTTAGGTGGAGCTTGAATGAGAGTGAGAATTTCATTGATATTGGTTTGGAGGCTGCAATTGGGATTCAGTATTATATGGCTTTCGGGTGGGCGAATCCGAATGCTACTTCTTTGATGGTAGGTGGTGACGTGGCCGTCACCGGATTTGAGGAGGATGGACTGCCGTTTTCTCACGATTATTATATCACCAAGTACAGTGAGTGTATGACCAATGAAGATGGCACTGTTCAGGGGGTTTGTCCCGACAGCATGTACAATTCTACCGATGCCGTTGGGTTGGTGAATAATACGAAATTGATTTACGGACACAGAAAGGATGGTGTATCCTTTGTTAGGTATAGAAGACCATTGATTTCTAACGATAGCAAGTATGATTTAGAAGTTGATCCCTCATCGAACATGATGGTCATATGGGCAGTAGGGCTTATCAAGCCTCCAGATAGTCTGCGACCTTTTTATCTTCCGCAAAATCATGGTGGGACTTTTGGTCACCTGAGGCTTAATCTTTCCGAGAGAGTAGAGGATTGTTTGGGGCCATTGGATGCTAAAGACAAAGAAGACCAAGATATTACGATTGCTGATAAAAAGGAGCCGCTTGTTGTGTCGACAGGCCCTGCATTGCATTACCCGAATCCTCCAAATCCATCCAAAGTCCTCTACATCAACAAGAAGGAAGCTCCCCTTTTGAGAGTGGAAAGGGGTGTGCCGGTGAAGTTCTCAATACAGGCCGGGCATGATGTGGCTTTGTATATAACATCTGATCCTTTAGGAGGTAATGCAACTCTGAGGAACATGTCGGAGACTATATATTTTGGGGGACCCGAAGCGGAAGGAGTCCAGGCAGATCCCACGGAATTAGTCTGGGCACCAAACAGGAATACGCCTGATCTCGTCTACTACCATTCTCTTTACATGCCGAAAATGGGCTGGAAAGTCGAGGTTGTCGATGGAGGCCTTCCGGATATGTATAGTAACAGTGTCTCGTTAGATGATCAGCAGGTTATGTTCTTCTGGACTCTGTCAGACAACAGCTCGATATCTATTGCCGCAAGGGGTGAGAAAAAGAGCGGGTATCTGGCAATCGGTTTTGGTCGTGGGATGGTAAACAGCTATGTTTATGTGGGTTGGGTTGACAATAACGGCACGGGAAGAGTAAGCACCTACTGGATTGCTGGAAGAGAGGCCCTGGACGTGCACCCCACAAAGGAGAATTTGACTTATGTGAGATGCAAATCTGAGAACGGCATTATCACATTCGAGTTCACACGTCCCCTAAATCCATCATGCGACCGGAATGCGAGACCAGAATGCAACAACATAATTGATCCTTCTACTCCTCTGAAAGTCATCTGGGCTATGGGCGCTCAGTGGTCAGATGGACACTTGAGCGTGCGTAACATGCATTTTGCGACCAGCAAGAGGCCAATGAGTGTGCTTCTAATGCATGGTTCGGCAGAGGCAGAGGAGGATCTGAGGCCTGTTTTGGCTGTCCATGGGTTTATGATGTTTCTCGCTTGGGGAATCTTGCTTCCCGGTGGAATTTTGGCGGCTAGGTACTTGAAGCACGTTAAGGATGACAGCTGGTTTAGGATTCATGTGAACCTGCAGTATTCGGGATTAGCTATTGTGTTCCTTGGTTTTCTATTCGCTGTTGCCGAGCTCCGGGGCCTGACTTTCGACTCGTTGCATGTTAAGTTTGGGATGCTAGCGATATTGCTTGCGTTGGCACAACCAGTGAATGCGTATTTAAGGCCTAAGAAGCCTGCTCCTGGAGAGGAGGCTTCTTCGAGGAGAGTTATATGGGAATATAGTCATTTTATAACTGGAAGGTTTGCTATAATTGTGGGAATTGCGGCTCTTATTAGTGGGATGAAGCATTTGGGAGAGAGGTATGGTGATGAGAATGCTCGGGGGTTGAGTTGGGCCTTGATAGTTTGGTTCTTGATAGGTGCTTTGATTGTAGTGTATTTGGAGTGCCGTGAGATTACCAAGAGGCGGCGAGCCAGAATATCTGGCAGAAGCAATTGGGTGCTGGGTGATGGTGAAGAGGAGGATACCGACCTCTTGAACCAAAGTAGGCAGGTGGCGGACAAAGATTCACTTTCTTCAGAAAGAATGGAAGTTCAGCTAGAACCGTTAAATAGATAGTGATAGAGATTTGGTCGTCACTAATATAATTGGTTGTTAGATATAATTTTTTGAAAATACTTACGCATGCGGATAGGGAAATCTCAGGGTTTTGAGATTTCATCCTCTTGTTACGACTTTCTCCTCCCATGTTTTTTTTTTTTTAATATTTTGGAGAGCACAAGGTCCGTCATGTTATGTACACTCTCGGCACACCAAGAACAGCAAATTTTAATATGAACAAAAATATTTCATATTGTTGTTATGTCTGTATCGACCAATCTTTTCATGCTCCTTAAGTTTGGATCTTGATCGTTTGAGTTTCAATCTGATTGCTAGTAGTCTTGAAGTTTAATAATTATGTGCTTAAGTTTGGATCTTGTCTTGGTCAGAGAAGTGGATTGAGCTTTAGTTTTGACCTTGAAGTGATATGCAGCCGTTTACGACGTTATGTTTTTCGTCTGTCTGCATTTGATTTGCACATAGTTCTGTTTGTACAATTTCGATCTGAGTGTCATCTATAAGCAGAGTGGCTATTCCCTTCAAACTATATACAAATAATAATGGAGACTTGCTACATGTGAAATTAATATTCTTTTGTTCCTCATTGTGTTTTCTTAGACAATGGTGGCTGTAATTGAGTCCAGGTTGCCATTTCTGATGATCAGCTGAACTAAACATTGTTCTGTAGTAGATTTTACTAATCATTATGCAAGCAGAGACTTCTATTGTTGCATCTAATATGCAAGAAATAGTGCATTTTTATGTGTTTTTTGTTTCAGTGTGTATTCAAGTAGTTATTTGATGTCAATTACAGCCAAAGCAGATCAGATTACACAGTGACATATCACCAATCATGGATGACAAAAGAACACTCACCCACCCCAAAACCAATTTGCTCATCGAGACAACAAAAATAAGCTTAAAACAGCACTTGAAAATAGAGACCGCGCGTACCAATTCCGACCAAAACAAAAAAATCCAAGCAAAAGTTTCAGGATGAGCAAAAATATTTCGAACAATATGTGTAGTCAAAATGGCCAAAACTTGTCAAAAAAAGAAAGAAAGAAAAACACCGTTCCCTTTCTCTCTCCTGATCTATGCATCTTCGTCTCTATCTACCAAAACCCTCTTCATTGCTTCATAACACATAAACGAGATCCCAGCTGCCGGTACCAGCTTCAGACAACTCGGCCCCAGCCCCTTGTACAGACCATTCAGTCCTTCCCGCTCGAGTATGCTGGCAAGTGCATGAAGCACGTTGTTGTACACTTGGCGCCCACTTACAGCCCCCACTTGCATGTGCTTACGGGCCACCTCGAGAGGGAAAGTGGCCGTGCTTGAAATGGCCCCAGCCACTGACCCAATCAGGAGGGTCTCGATGTTGCCAATTTTTTCCTGTTTGAATACTTTCCGGTAGATTTTGCGCAGAGTATCGTACGCACAGTAGTTTGTTGCTGCGTATGGGATAACGCCTATGAGGCTTGGGGTAAGGCCCCTGTAAAGCTCCCCGGGCCCTCCCTCTTGCAAAATTTTCACAAAGGCATCGACCAAGCCATTGTAGACTTCTCTCTGGGAAATAGTCGGTCGAAGACAGGTTTAATGGAAATTGAAAATTTAAGAAAAAAAGTAGATGAATTGATTTTATTTATTTATTTTCATATGTACCTGAATGGTTAGTCGTGTCTTGACCAACTCAAGAGGGTATGTGACTAGAGTCGAGCTCACTCCAGCACAGGCTCCAGCAATCAATGAGGGAGGGAAGGGCAGTTTGGGGGCTTCACCAGCTTTTGGCGACAAATTCTTGTTCACAGTGTCGTAAACAAATAACTGAAACAAAAACATGAAGAACTCAAGAAAAAGTTGGGGATTATAAACACAACCGAGCCATACTGATTAGTTTGCATGTCTAGCCATTTCAAGAGATCAGTATAAATCAACAAGTAGAATAACAGTGATACAACTTAGATCAAGATCAAGATCCTTATTGCCTATACTTAAATGTGGTATCCACTTGAACAATATTGATGGGCACCAATACATGTTACAAATGACTTGATATAGAGCACTAACAAAATGTTTATGCCTCATGTTAGGTAAACAAATTTCGTCAAGGGCGAAGACAGTATAAGTAGAAAAAAGAACAATTTTCTCCCCTATTTAAGTGTGTATGCGTGCGCACGTGCAATGCCAGAGCTAACAAGCATACTGGCTACGGCGCTACTGCCATAGCAATAAACCTACTTAACGCCCTTCCTCTGTCCTCAAAATATCGGAAATGGAAATGGAAAAAGAAAATAAAACACAAAAAAGGGTTATATCCAATCAGACACATTGAAACATTTACAGAGTAGAGCCTAGAGACTATGCTAAGACGACGATGGAACCGACAAGTCAGATTCATGAGTTCTACTCCAAACTGACCAACGAAAGTACATAGCAATTGGTAATAGCATCACCACAGAGCATACCTCCAGCTCACCGTAAATGTTCATAAGAAGCATACAACAAATTGTAAAACTAACAGAAATAGCCCTAGCATGAAGTAAATCTCAACCAGATTCAGACTGTCAGGTGTCAACAGAATCATGAAAAATGTTCACAAACATCGTAACAATGTATAATCAATTCGACCACACTCAGAGTCAAAGATGGAGATATTACCTATTACCACATTAAGAAAAAGCAGAACAAAAAGAAAAATTACACAACTACAAGATCAACAGAGCAGAATTATAAGAACCAGAACAAATTTCACATAAATTGAAGCAATAATTGAAACAGTTTCCCCTTCACCTCTATTGCCTTGCTAGGTGCAACACGAATCACATTCACAAAATTACCCCTGAACAACCCCGGCCACCCTTCCGTGTTCATGATATCACGAAAGACTTCCATGGTCGAGTGCCCGCTACTCCCCACCATCAAATGGGTCCTAATCGTCTCTAGTGGGGCCACAGCAGTTCTCGAGACGGCCCCCGCTATCCCACCGCTTATCAGCCTCCTCAAGGAAGGATTCGAAATCTTAATCTTAAGCCTGAGCCCATTTTTCTTGTTCTTACCTTCTTGCTCAAAAATCTTGAATCCCTCCGGCAGGGAAACATATTTCACAAGCAAGTCGGCGTACGGTATTTTAAAGCCGCCGTTTTCATTGTCCCCCATTTGGCTCACGGACGCGAACAGGCCGCCTCCTGGGTAGGAGCTGCAGTCGTGGAGACTCCATTGAAGCCCCAATTGAGAATTCGACAGGAAACCACTATTATTGGCCTTCAACTCCAAAGACTGCATTTTTACACTCCCACCCATTGTTTCAACACTTTCTAAAAACCTCAAGAACCAAACCCTTGTCACTCTGCACTCTCTCCTCAGAAACTTTTGCCTGAAAAAATTCAAATCAACCCCAAATGCGGCAAGAAGCGAAAGACTTGATTTGGGGGAAATAGGTACGCAAAGAATCCATTTGTGACTAGGGTTGTTGATATAAATATCAGCAAATTATTAGGGCTAATTTCCAAAAATATTTAGGCCCATTGGCCCGATGAATCAGGAATCCTAATAAAAGGACCTCAACGGATGTATAAATGTGATATAATTTGAAGTATACGAAGTGGAGGCGGAGGTCTCAAAGAAGGGCTCCTTAATTTTGTTTCTATAAGGGTATGTTTGGTTCAACAGAGGGAAAGGGAGGGGAGGGATTTTAATGGAAGGGAAGGGAGGGGAAGGGAGGGGATGTAAAATAATTTTACTTTGTTTGGAGAGATTTTGTAGGAGGGAAGGTGAGGGAAAATGATAAACTTTGTTTGGTTAGAAAAGGGAAGGGAAGAGAAAATAATGTTGAATTGACTATTTTACCCTTAATGATATAAGAAATATAACAATAAAATAATATTAATATTAAGGACAAAAAAGTAACTTTATATCTTCACATTTTCCTTCCCCTCCAAATCCCTCCAATTTTGGAGGGGAGCCATTTTTACTATTTGGAGGGATTTTAATTAAAAATTTTCCTTCCCCTCCCCTTAGAAAAATTGAACCAAACAAATGAAATCTAAAATTTACCCTCCCCTACCCTCCCCTCCCCTCCAAATTCCCCCAACCAAACAATACCTAAAGAGAAAAGACAGGGACAGAACTGTTCTTCCCTGATTCCTACCCCCAAATTGAGAAAAGATAATGAAATATATTCCCTACAATATTATATGACAGGTGCAGTAGGCATGGGCCGCATGGCCACGGGTACATGCCCGAAACCGAACTGATCCGGTCAGACCCGTTGACCACGGGTTTGGGTCTGTGTCCAAATTCAAATCGGGACGATTTAGGGTCATATGTATGTAACATATGAGGCAAAAGATCAACAATAATTTTTTTTAGGACGGGTATCAAATCCAGGTCGAGCCGCCGAGTCGTGATCTCGGCCAGGGGCGGATCTAGGTCACAAAGTGAGTGGGGGCATAAAATTTTTAAATATATGATACATAGTAAAAAAAACATAAATACAAAATACACCATGTTTATAGTTATTATTATGATTTTTTTATCTCACATCGGTTTTATAATAACATTGTTTAATTTTTTATTGTGTTTTCTTTCAACCCAAAAATGTTACAATCCACCAAAGATATATTTGGACTGAAACTAAACTCATTTTAAGATATATTTACATGTATTTTTTGTCAAGACATTTGTTTGAAAGTATTATTGATAATCTGATATAAAAATTAAATCATAATTAATGTATAAAATACTTTATGTAATATATCAAACTTTTAAGAGATCTACAATTAAAGTATCAATCACACACATTAAAATATATGATATTAATGTTAGAGATCATTAAAAAAAATTAATTAACTACAAGAATGTTAAAATGTACAATTTAAGTGTTTATTTTTTTTTAAACCTAATAAAGAAGAGATAGATCACTTTCACAAAAATCATCAATACGGACAAAAAATTATTTTTCCATTATCTTTGTAATTTATTTCCCCACTAGCTCCTTATTTTTCTTCTTAGAAAAGGTATTGATTCAGTAATTACTATTATTATTTTAATTAATGATGTATTAAACTATTTATTGAGTCTTAAGGTACCTAGGTCATGATTTTTTTTTTTTTTTCAGTGTGGGCCTAGGCCCACACTGGTCTAGCTATAGATACGCCCCTGATCTCGGCTCGTACCTAGGTACATGACAGTTTAGGGTCGCTGATTTGAACCTGACGACCTGTCAATCAGGCCAGCCCGAAATTTGATCATGTCTATTGGTAGTCCTGTGCTACTTCCAATTTGGTACTAACATGAATAAATTAATAATACTTATGTGTAAGTAAAAAAACTAATGTTTTTCAAAATAAAAATCTTCAACTTAAATTTTCTATTATTGTTTAAAAAATTTCATTGCATTTTGAATTAGTGTGGCTCGATGCACGGATAAATAATATAATATAATATATTCAACTTAAATGGTAGAGTCTCTGTGTGTAGAGTTAGGATTCAGTGAAAATAGTAGATAATGAAAGAACTAAGAATAAATTTTTACCGTTGGATCTAACATATCAACAATTGTGATCAAGTCAAATATTAAATATGAAAGTTAAACAGATGTGACAATTTCGTAAATAAATATACAATTAGTGGTCAAATACATACATTTGACCTCTAAGTAATGACAAATTGGTCATTAAACACTCCACACTTATCCACACCCCGTGGGCCCCACCCCTAACTATGCAACTCTCACTCTCTTTCACGCACTAACATACACATACCTACACAAACTTCACGCACACACACACACACACACTTCGGCCAGAGGTGGCGTCGGACGAAGGCGAGGCGACGCAATACCCAAAGCTTGTTGGTGCGGCGAACGAGCTTCTAGGCAAGCGGCGGTGGAGATGGTTGGAACGATCGGGAGTTGCAGAAATAGCAGGGGGCTTGCTTTTGTAAATTTTATAGGTTTTAAGGATTGAAATGTTAAGTTCAGAAATTTTGTTTTGGTTCCTAGCCCCTAGGTCATGTGTTGGTGAAGTACATTTATTTAGGGGCTTATATGCAATTTTGTCAACTTTTAATTTATTTGGACAATAATTTATATGCACAATAATGTTGCCTTTATAAATTACTTCAATTTTGCCCAGCAATATGGTTATGGAACCACACAAAACATGAAAGTGATAAGGTGAGCATTGCCTAAATACATACATACATACTTATATTGTACAACTATGTGTGAGGAAATAAAATTACTTATTGCACTAAGTATGATAATAAGATATACAGTATACTTCTAATCACTGAGATGTGTGCCATGGCATTTCCTATTGAACTTTTTTACAAATCATTGAAGACAAATCACTACTACTATACTTTCATGACATAGATGAGCTTCTAACAGTTTAAGTTATATGCACGGATTTTACTTCGGCTAAGCAAATCTTGTGTGAAAGCATCAACTGCATTTCTTCTTAATCATGATATGGTTTTTTTTTTTTTTTTTTTTGGTTCGAACTTTCGTTTTCTTGAGTATGTAGTTTGATATGGATCGAAATCGATCAAACCGGAATACGCCAGTACTTTTCGAAAAAGTATAGACTTAAATTCATTCTTCGATTGAAGGGAGACTCCTATGAATGCTCGTATGACAACTCGGTTAATTGATTTTTTCGTATATGAAGCAGCCAAAAGGGATTACATATTTCATAGCCACGACAAACCCTAATTGTTAACTAATTATCAAATAATCGTATTTTGATAGGTTTCACACGTTTTGATAGAAACCCGAACTTCGATCCTCCTCGAGTACGTACCTACAAAGCCGACGTAAAGACTCTGGCACTCGATTTAGAATAAATGTGAATGAATCGTTTCTTATTACATTTTTGGTTTATGGACCACATGATTATCTCCTTGAATGGAAGTAAACCATCAAAATTAAACGTAGCGATACTACTACAGTATCTATAAGTTTTTTAGTCATGGAAAATCCAATTTGTACAGTATCTATAAGTTTTCAGAGTCATGGAAAATTCAATTCGTGAAAGGGGCAGCAGAAAGTGGCATTTTAGCGAACTTGTTGACGACAAAGTCGATGCTATCCCATAAGGTAGTGCCCCATGAGTTTTTAGTCATACATTCACACACTCGCACCAACACCTATATGGGTGTGTGACTTTTATAACTAGAAAATAGAAACCTCATGGAGACACTACCTACATGGGTAGCATGAATTCAACCCTTGTTGACAAATAGCAAAGTTGTCACTATTATGATTCTCTTATATATGGGTTATGAACTTATGATACATATTACTCGTGATTATCCAACATACTGACAAAATCATGTTTAATACACGTTGGCACGCTAACACCAAGCGTTTGTAGTCCAACGGTTAGGATAATTGCCTTCCAAGCAATAGACCCGGGTTCGACTCCCGGCAAACGCATCTTTTTTGTCCTTTTTTTTTTTTGTAGTTTTCTGAATTTCGAGAATAAACGTGTAAATAATTAATAATAGCAATAGATTTTCCGCCAAACATTACAATTTGAGTGCGCCCCTAATTTGGAACTTATAAATGGAATTTTGAAACTTTTGGAGTTCCATGCACCTGTTAATTAAACTGACATAAATGCCCACAAATTCCATGGTATTCTTCAAAATATTTTTCTTTTTAATTTTTTTATAGAAGAGTTTAATATCCAATTTTTTTTTTTCGTACAAGAAAGGAAGACAAAGCGTAAATTAAAACACTCCGAAGATAAGCGACGCAATCCAATTTTGAAAGCATTTGCAAAAGAATGCATTTTTTTTTTCTTTTTTTCCTTTTTGTGTTAGATAGCGGATTTCTTCTGTTGTGTTAATTTGTAGAGAGACCATCTGTTTGTTTGAATTTTCTTCCTTTTGTTTCGTTTCATTGGTTTATGATAATAGTGTGTATCCCTTGCGTTGCATTGACAGACTTTTACTTAAAACCTTTCTTGAACCTTTATTTTAAATAATTTTCTATATTTAATGTTTCATTATTGTACTAAAAGAAATACAAAATATAAAAAATTATTTATTATTTATTTGAATAGAATAAGTGCTCCCAACCAAATTAATAGCATCTAACACATGGTATATGTTTATGATAAAATTAATTATATGAATTATCATGTTTTGTTAAAAAAAAATATATTTATTTGACAAATATGAGATATTTAAGATTCGTAATAATATATTGGTACATATACATATACATCTAAAAAATAAAATTAGTATATGTAGAGCTATTCATTAGTATTGTTGTA